ACACGTTTCGTGGCCCCATAAGGAGCTCCACCGAAGGCGCCAGAGTGCTGCCGCCCGCATGCGTCCCGCGCACCCATTTCGGCACACCCCTCACGCGCTTCGTGGCCCCGTAGGGAATGCGTCCCGCACGCCCAATTCGGCATGCCCTTCACACGTTTCGTTTCGTGGCCCCATAGGGAACTCCACCGAAGGCCCCTGTGGGTGTGCCCGCGTGCGTCCCGCACATCCATTTCGGCACACCCCTCGCGCGTTTCGTGACCCGTCATACGTTTCGTGGTCCCATAGGGAGCTCCACCGAAGGCCCCAATGGGTGTGCCCGCATGCGTCCCGCACACCCATTTCGGCACACCCCTCGCACGTTTCGTGGCCCCGTAGAGGGGCTCCACCGAAGGTCCCAGTGCTGCCGCCCGCATGCGTCCCGCACACCCATTTCGGCATACCCTTCACACGTTTCGTGGCCCCAAAGGGAGCTCCGCCGAAGGCCCCAGTGGGTGTGCCCGCCTGCGTCCCGCACACTCATTTCGGCACACCCCTCACGCGTTTCGTGACCCCTCGCACGTTTTGTGGTCCCATAGGGAGCTCCACCGAAGGCCCCAGTGGGTGTGCCCGCATGCGTCCCGCACACCTATTTCGGCACACCCCTCGTACGTTTCGTGGCCCCGTAAGGGGGCTCCACCGAAGAAGATATTCACAACTGCGGTACTCACAACTGCATATGGTTGGGTCCTTCGCCAGGATATTTTTTTCCCAACCATCCTGTGGTGTTGGGTCCTCGTTTTGAAGAGACGGTCCCCGCGTTCTCCTCTCCTCGCCTCCTCTGCCCCCTCCTCCCTCCTCCCCCTCCGCGTCAGCCACACCCACTTCGGCACGCGCGCCAACCCAGGCGAAACTATAAACTGTCTTCGTCGCGCCCCCAACAAAGGCTTCTTTCGATGCGAGTCCAGAGGCCACGTCCGAGCGCGAGGGACTATGGGATACAGCCCTGGTCCCGGCATCCCTTTCAGCGTCCACTTCCCGGCGTGAAAGTCCAACGCGATTTGCCTTGGCATCTTACGCAGGACTCTCGACGACGCGTCCTGCACGTCTTCTTCTTCTTCATCTACCACCCATGAATGTATCGTCGCGCGACACCCTCGTAGCAATTGCTTCTCTGCTCGGTCCAAATGGTCCGTCAGTACAACTGGCATGCCTACGGCAAGCGGTAACCATCCTGGCATGTCTGCACAGGCCTTGTCGTGATATCCGAGCCACCGCACTTTGTCTGCTGAGGTGTACGGCCTTTCCTGGTACGTCGCGTGCGTTGCCTTATCCCGCGCATAAGCCCACGAAATCTGTTTCTTTTGGCACGCAGCCCAGTCGACGGCCCGCTGCCGCGCTACCTTGCACTTCGCATCCTGATTCGGATATATGGCAGTGGCTTCGACGAATTGTGGAAGTGCGAACCGTTCGTGTGCGGCACTGGTGGCTACGAGACATCGACGCTCTCTTTCCTCTGCACACAGTCCACACTCCAGCCCGTTGTCCTTTGCGATAGACGCCACGTTCTGCATGCAGGATAGCGAACCACACATTGGCTGGTCATGCAACCAAGACCCGGGAACATCTGTGCACGCATGCCTGCCCATGTTATGTACGCGTGTGTGTACAATATACGACTGCATGTTCCGTATATATACACATATGTTTATATACATATATATGCACGATCATTAGTACATACAAACGTACAAAGTTGCTGAAGGTGGACCTGATGCGAGGCCGGAGCAAGCGGCGGCATTCTGGCGCGGCGACATGGGGGGGCAGTGCACAAGATAAAGGCCCCGCGCGAGATAGCGAGAGCCAGGTTGTTAATGCTGCACGAACCCCCCCACCCAAGGCCTTCCCAGATATCCCAAGGGGTCGGCGGTGTGGCGTAAACCCATGAATAAGAAATCGTCAGGCGACGATTTTCCGTGCTCTTTTGACTATGTTTGAATATTGTTTGACAGTTCCTCATTTCCAACTATCCCGTGTTGGGTCCTCGTTTTTCCCCACATCCAAAGTGGGGTTCTTGTTTTCTCTGGACACCCCGCGCAGGAACAGGAACCCACCATCATCATCATCATCATCATCATCATCATCATCATCATCATCATCATCATCATCATCATCATCATCATCATCACTCATTCCTCACTCACTCACTCATCATCCCTCACACACTCACTCACTCACTCACCCACTCAATCACTCACTCACTGACTCATCAGCACTCACTCACTCACACGCTCACTAACTCACACATGATGATGATGAGTGCGCGCGTGAGAAAGTGTGATGATCATCATCATCACCAGTCAGTCAGTCAGTCAGTCAGTCAGTCAGTCAGTCACTCATTCACTCGCCTTGGGCCTCGTCAGTGAGTGAATTGCGAGGAAGTCTCAAGCGGGAGTACCCTCCCTGTGGGGCCCGCGGATCATGTTACTAATCTGAGCGGGTCATCCAATTCGCGTAACTGTCGCCACTTTTGGGCTCTCGCGCTGCCAGAACGCCACTCCCAGGCAACATTTGTGAGTGAATTGCGAGGAAGTCTCAAGCGGGAGCCCCCTCCCTATGGGGCCCGCGGATCACGTTACTCATCCGAGCGGGTCGTCCAATTCCTGTAACCGTCGCCACTTTTGGGCTCTTGCGCTGCCAGAGCGCCATTCCCAGGCCACATTTGTGAGTTAATTGCGAAGAAATCTTAAGCGGGAGCCCCCTCCCTATGGGGCCCGCGGATAATGTTACTAATCTGAGCGGGTCATCAAATTCTTGTAACTGTCGCCACTTTTGGGCTCTCGCGCTGCCAGAACGCCACTCCCAGGCCACATTTTGAATGCCCGGAGCCAACAGTAAGCCACCTCGTGTTCTTCGTGCTCCCAGAACACCACTCCCGGGCCACATTTTGAATGCCCGGAGCCAACTGTAGGCCACTTCGTGTTCTTGGTGTTCCCAGAACACCACTCCCGGGCCACTTTCTGAATGTCCGGAGCCAAAACAGGAGGGCGAGGTCGGGGGCAACGTAGGGAGCGGGGGGAGGGCCAGCGCCAGGGCGAGAAGAAATATACGCAGAAGAGACAGCCAGGACGCCTCACCAACCACGAGGACGACGGTGAGGGCTTTTTCCAGATTCGCCCAGAGGATTCTCACGTGGGGTCCTTCCGTCGGAGTAATGAAGAGACAGCGCCCCGCGTTCCTCCTCCTTCTTTCCTCCTCTCCTCCTTGTCGTCCTCCTCCCCCTCCTCCCTTCCCCCCTCCTTGCCTCTGCCCTCCGCATGTCCAGTTCGGCACACCCCTCACACGGTTCGTGGCCCCATCGGGAGTTCCACCGAAAAGCCGAGTGGCCGCGTCCACATGCGTCCTCTCCGCCTACTGCATTCCCATGTGGGCACACCCCTCACACGTTTCGTGGCCCCATGGGGAGCTCCACCGAAGGCCCCAGTGGCCGCGTCCGCATGCGTCCCGCCCACCGCATGCCCATTTCGGCATACTCCTCACACGTTTCATGGCCCCATAGGGAGCTCCACCGAAGGCCCCAGTGACCGAATCCGCATGCTCCACCGAAGGCCCCAATGGCCGCGTCCGCATGAGTCCTCCCCGCACACCGCATGCCCAGTTCGGCACACCTCTCACACGGTTCGTGGCCCTGTAGGCAGCTCCACCGAAGGCCCCAGTGGCCGCTTCCGTGTGCGCCCTCCCCGCACACCGCATGCCCATGTCGGCACACCCCTCACACGTTTCGTGGCCCCATAGGGAGCTCCACCGAAGGCCCCCGTGGCCGCATCCGCACGCCCCCTTCCCACCCACGGAATGTCCATTCTGGCACACCCATCACACGTTTCGTGGCCCCATAGGGAGCTCCACCGAGGGACACACTGGTCGCGTCCGCATGCGTCCTCCCCGCCCACCGCATGCCTATTTCGGCACACCCCTCACACGCTTCGTGGCCCAATAGGGAGCTCCACCGAAGGCCACAGTGGCCGCGTCCGCATGCGTCCTCCCCGCCCACCCCATGCCCACCAGTCCGGTACAACCCTCACACGCTTCGTGGCCCCATGGGGAGCTCCACAGAAGGCCTGGTGGCCGCGTCCGCGTGCGCCCCCCCCGCACACCTTATGCCCATTTCGGCACACCCCTCACACGCTTCGTGGCCCCATAGGGAGCTCCACCGAAGGCCCCAATGACAGGATCCACATGCGGCTCCCCGCCCGCCTAACGTCCATGTCGGCACACCCTTCACACGGTTCGTGGCCCGATAGGGAGATACACTGAAGGCCCCAGTGGCCGCGTCCGCATGCGCACTTCCCGCCCACCGCACGTCCATTTCGGTACACCGTTCACATGGTTCGCGGACCCATAGGGAGCTCCACCGAAGGCCCCAGTGGCACAGTCCTCATGCGTCCTCCCCGCCCAGCGCACGTGCATTCTGGCTCCGATTCGAGGGCCTATGGGCAGCTCCACCGAAGGGCCCAATGGCACAGTCCACATGCGCCCTCCCCGCCCACCGCATGCCAATTTCGGCAAACGCCTCACACGGTTCGTGGCCCCATGGGCAGCTCCATCGAAGGGCCCAGTGGCCGCGTCCACATGCGTCCTCCCTGCCAACAACATGCCCATTTGGGCACACCCCTCATTGGGAGCTCCACCGAAGGTCTCAGTGGCCGCGTCCGCATGCATCCTCCCGCCCACCGCATGCCCATTTCGACACACCCCTCACACGCTTCGTGGTTGCATAGGGAGGCCCGTCGACAAAGGAGACCCAGAACGCGGTATCAACAACTGTTTCTGGTTGGGTCCTTCGTCAGGATCATTTTTCTTCCAAGCTCCGCCTGTGGAAAATCACGCCCGACCTAACCCTAAGGGGCCATTTCGGATCCCTTCTGGCGCCAGCAGGGGCCCAGAAGGGGCCCAGAAGGGCCTCTCTGGTGCCCTTTTCTTCACCCCCCTTCCAGGTCCCCCCCCCGTTACCACCCGCCGGAGACCTGCAACTGCGCCTGCAGCTGCTCCACGGTCTCCGCCAGCCTTCTGTGGCAGCTCGTGGGAGCCTCCCATGCCATCTTGCTGGCGCTTTTGCGGATCGACGCTGACTGGCAATAGTCGATGCTAGTCGACGCTAAATCGGCGCTAAACCGGCGCTTTCTCATCGATTACCAAACGCAAGCGCGCGCTCGTGCACTCTCAAGATTGAATTTCGAGGACGTACAAAAAACTCACATTTTTCGCCCCTGGACCAGCCTGCCCATGCGGCCGTCGCGCGTGCGCTCCGCCTCCTCGAAGAGCCGGTTGGCGGCCTTGAGCTCGTCGACCGAGCCGGCCGCGCCGCGGATGGTGTGGCGCCAGACCTTCAGCTTGCTGTCGCCCAGCGACGTGCTCCACACGATCTGCGTCTCCACGCGGTCCACCGGCAGCAAGTTGGAGATGTACGGCTCGTGCGCGGGGTGCTCCCCGGTCTTCTGCATCTGGCCCTGCGAGAAGACCTGGATGTTGGGGTGGTGCCCGCACGACCACAAGTCGTTGCCCAGAGGCACGATCGCGTAGACGCCCTTCTCAAAGCCGGCAGGGGCCACTTGCCGCAGACACTTGCTGCCTCCATCGAGGCAGACCTGCCACTCCTTGATTGTGCCGTCAGATCCTGCCGACCACACGGAGTTTTTGACGATGGCCAATTTAAGCACGGACCCCCTGTGTGCATCCTCGAGCACCTCGGCACAAGTACTGTCCGCACACCACCACATCCGGATCGAGCCGTCGTCGCTCCCTGACCAAAGCAGCGGCCCTATCTTGAGCAGAGCTCGCACGCCGTTGGTGTGACCATGCATCTGCGTCCCCCGGACTATGCCCACCTTGAGCCCCTTAAGCCCCACGATTGTCGCGCCTGAGGCGCTGCTCACCCGCTGCGGCACTGGCCCGTCGTCGCGCCACGTCTCGATCCACCACTGCCGGATTGTGAAATCGTTGCTGCCACTCCAGCCTCGGCGGACGGGGAAGACGTCCGCATCGCCGTCGAGGGCACCCTCCAAAGCCAAGCAGGTGACGCCGCCAGTGTGGCCCCCGGTGAGGGTTGCTTTGTACTCCTTCTCGCGCGCGTCGAAGAGCGAGATTCCCTGCGCCTCCTGGCCCATCCAGATGAGCCCCGGATCCATCTGCCCCATGCACCACACGAAGCGGTTCGTGGGGATCTCGGCCTTGACCTTCGTGGCGTCGTCCCGCTCGCGCACCGTGACGACGCCTTTCCAGTCGGCGCACCACACGTCTCTGCCGTTGCACAGGGCGCTGCGGATGGCGAAGCCGAGCTCCAGCGTCTGCGTGCAGCTGACGCCCTCGGCGTCGAGCGCTTCCTCTCCGCGGCTCCTCGCGGCGGGGGCCTTCCCTGGGCTGGGACGCACCGCTGCCTGGCCGGGCGCACCCTTCGAGGACTCGCGCCTGACCCGCGCGCCGTCTCCTGGGCGCCCAGGCCCGGCGAGCTCTGCGACGGGCCGTGCGGCGTCGCGCGGGGGGTTCGGCTCGCGCCGCCCAGCCTCGTCCCGCTGGCGCCCCTCCCTGGCCTCCTTCCCGGCCGCCTTCTTGCCCTCCTTCTTCTGGCCCTCTTCCCTCTTCCCCTTCGCCTTCTTCTCGCCCTTCCCCCCCCTCTTCTTCTGGGGCCCCGTAGCCGCGGCCGCCTTCGCCCCGGCGGCGCCGGGGCTGGCCGCGGCCGCCGCGCTGGCGGCGGCGGCGCTGGCCGCGTCTGCGGGCACTGCGGCTGCCTTCGCCGCCGGGGTGGCCAAGGCCTCGGCGGCGGCCTCCGCCACCTTCGCGCCCGCTGCTGGCGCTGCGGCGCCCGCAGAGGTGCTCGCGTCGGCCGCAGCGGCGGCGGCCGCGCCCTCGGCGTGAGCGCCGACGCCCTTGAGATCCTCTCCTCTGTCCTCCGTGGCCTGGGCCTCCTCGTCGTCTTTCTCCGCCTCCCCCTCAGAGTCGCCGTCGTCCTCCTCGGACTCCTCCTCCTCGGTCTCGCCCTCGCTGCTCTCCTCCTCGGCCGGCTCGCCCTCCTCGTCGTCTTCCTCGCCCTCGCCCTCCTCCTCCTCCTCCTCCTCACCCTCGCCCTGCTCGTCCTCCTCCTCGTCCTCCTCCTCGCCCTCGTCCTCATCCTCGCCCGCGGCGGCAGCTCTCGCCGCGCCCTCGGCGCCCGGACCATCGCCTCCCTCAGCGTCCTTGTTGACGCGAGGAGCGAGAGGTGAGAGGAGAGGGAGGGGGGAGACACGGGGAGGTGGAGGAGAGGAGAGGAGAGGAGAGGGAGGGGGAGGAGAAGGAGGGGGAGGAGAGGAGAGGAGAGGAGAGGAGATGGAGAGGAGAGGAGAGGAGAGGAGAGGAGAGGAGAGGAGAGGAGAGGAGAGGAGAGGAGAGGAGAGGAGAGGAGAGGAGAGGAGAGGAGAGGAGAGGAGAGGAGAGGAGAGGAGAGGAGAGGAGAGGAGAGGAGATGGGGGAGAGGGGGGAGGCACGGGGCCTAGCACACATCGACCAGCTAGGCCAGAAGACGCCTAAGCCAGAGAGGTGTGCTCAGCTCGAGGCTCCTGCTGGGGATACTGCCCGCAGGAGGCCTGGCACAAACAATTGCAATGCCAATGCAGCTTACAGTTATGTGCAGTCAGCCCGTATTAGAAGGATGCGCGTTGAGGATGCAAGGGCCTCCGAGGGCCACGATAACGTTTTTCGAGCGAGGCTGGCCAGCGAACACCGCTAAGGATGGACCGAGGAGGCAAGGATGCAAGGGTACCCTTGACAAGGCTGCCAATCCTTACTATGCGGGTTGACTGTAATGGGGGCCCCTGTCGTGGAATGGAGACCCTGCTGCACCTTGCCACCCTTCCTTCGGAGGGCGGCGGCCGCTCGAAGCCCTGCAAAACGTCCAGGGCGGTCGACACTGAGACCGCTCCTCCCAACCCGCCCTGCATCTCCCGTACAGGAGACCCCACACTTCGTGCAGCTCACGCCGTGGCCGTGCGGGCAGGGCACATGCCCGACCGCACGGGAGCCTGCGAACACGGCATCTTGGTCCTCCACTGTCCTGGGCGCAACCGGCCCCAGGACCCCGTCGGCGACCGAGAGAGCCGAGGAAACCGACGGCGCCCAGGAACAGGCCCTGCGAGTCGGGGAGGACCCAGTCCTCCTGCAAGACGAGCTGCCTCGCGTTCCAGCTGTCGGTAGAAGACGGCTCGCACCTGCTGCTGAGCAGATGCGAGAGGTGGCCTTCCGTGCGGGCCGCGCGGGCACGGCTCTTACAGCGGTGCTCCTTGTGCGGCTCGGCCCGCACGAACCGGGGCCCTCGGGCCCCTGCACCCTGAAGATGTTACGCCCGATGCGAGAATGCTTGCCCCTCGCCGACTCCAACCACCGATCCCACGACTCACCCTCCAACGCTAACGACGACAGGTCGGAAACGGCGTGCTCCATACGGCGAGGGGCACTCTGAAGCAACTTGTGCACACTATACCTCTCTGCCCTACCCACTGTCTGGATGCCAGGGACGGCCCCGTAGAGGGCGCGCACGGGCATGAGCTGATGGTTCAGCTGCACCTCGCTGTATGAGGATGAGGATGCAGAGTGAGGAGGAGGAGGAGGAGGAGGACGAGGAGGAGGAGGAGGAGGAGGAGGCAACAGAGCGAGGAGGAGGACGAGGAGGAAGAGGAGGATGAGAAGGAGTGAGCACCAGAATAAACCCGAGGTGTATCAGCGATGCTGCAGTACACCCTCCCGTCCAGAGCCCCCTCATCGTGAGTTTCTATAGGTATGTAAGTTTCTGTTGGTCTGCAAGACGCGCCCCACGTGAAAGGCTAGCACCAAATGGGCCTACCATGTTGGCGAAGGACCATGCTTCCTTCCGGCCCGTACTTAGGAAAACGAGCAACATTCAGTTCGTCGACATGTCCAGCAAGAGCCGGGGCTCGAAAAAGGACCAACCCCCATTCCTTATGAGCGTCTGGGAAGTGTCAAGCGAGACCTCCATTTTGAAATCGAGCCACCCTCGACCTGACCTGTGCCGTGCTCCATGTCTTTGAAGTTAGGGAAGTCTCACGCTAGATCCCACTTTTGAGAAAGAGCAATCCTCCCTTCCTGAAGCTGTTGCAAACCTTTGCGACGAATGCGCGGCGTAGCACTTCAACGATGACCCCATTGTGAAAACGACCCACCGCCATCCTTCAAACTATTGCCGGAACATAAGACGAATATGTGCGGCACAAGCCTTGAGCCACAATTTGAAAAGGAGCCACCATACTTTTAAGACGGGTGTGTGCGGCGCTACGGCGAAGGCCCATTTTGAAAACGAACGTCTCTCCATCTGTGAAGCTGTTGCTCCGTTCAGGACATATGTGCGCGGTGCTAAGGCGACAACCCCATGTTGAAAGCTACCCCTCTCCATCCTTGAAGCCGTTGCAACATTTTGAAAACGAATGTGCGCGGCGCTCAGGCGAGGGCCCCGTTTTGAAAACCGCCCCCCTCCTTCCCCGAGGCCGTCGCAACATATTGGAGCGAGTGTGCGCGGCGCGACGGCGAGGGCCCCAATTTGAGAAAGAGCCGCTCTCCGTCCTTCAAGCCAGTGGACTTCAGAGCAAGTGTGCAGGAAGCGAACGCGAGAACCACGTCAGGAACAGCACCCCCCCCTCCATGCGTGAAGCCCTTGGCATCTTCCAGGTCTAAAAGGGCGGGTCCAGGCTTGTCTGTGTGCTGCTGGAGGGGTGTGGATGGGTGTGGGACCAGGGAACAGTCGGAGACTGACATGCTGATTGAAATCAGCGCTCCCGCCTGGGAGATCCTTCACAACACGGATCTATCGGAGGAGTCGGTTTACGACGTCGTCTGCAAGAAATCAAGCTCTCGCTGGAGGCATCCTCGGAAATTGGAAATGTTCCGTGAGCTCGCCAATTCAACGAGCGTTTGAGAACGGGGCTCTCGACTGAGAGATCTTTAAGAACATCTGGTGTTGAAGGACATGTGATATAAACTCGTATGTTCAACTTCCAGCTTCTGCTGCAGAAATGCTCCGAACATTGACATGTCCAGATAGCTTGCGAATGTGTCGTTCCCTCAAAAGTGCGGCCCTCGCATGAGACACCCTCAAAGATGGAAGTGCCCAGCGGCATGTTTTTTGACGCCTTCTTTGGGTTCCCTTGGTTGGCCCCCCGAACGGCCCAAGAGGCCAAGACATGTGTAGGCGCCCCCCCCGACAGGCCGCGTGCGACCTGGTCCTGGGCGGGCGCGTCCAAGAGACCATCACACGCGTGTAGGCGCCCAACCATACAGGCCGCTCTACGCGGCGCAGCACGGCATGCAGCACGTGCCAAAATAGAGATTGACTCCTTACCGGGTTCGTGGATCCCTCAAGTTCTAAAGCGAATGTGCGCGGCGCTAAGGCAAAAGCTCCATTTTGAAAACGTCCCGCCCTTTATCCTTGAAGCTACTGCTGCGCATTACGAGTTTCAGTGTTATCAGAGGTGGGCAAGTTTCAGGCGAAACGTCCGGACCGCCCTGATTACTGACACGTCTGGGGGTGCATAATGGACGAGTCACGTATGAGGACAATGGATAAAGAAGGAGGAGGAGAGAGACGTGAGGAGTGAGGAATAAGGAGGTGGAGGAGGAGCAATAGTGAGGAGGAGGAGAAGGAAGAGGAGGCGGAGGAGAAATGAGGAGGAGAAAGAGTGAGGAGTAGGAGGAAGAGAAAGAGAAGGAGAAGGAGGAAGGAGAAGGAGGAGGAGGAGAAGAAGAGGAAGCGAGGATGAGAATGAACGTGCGAATTAGCATCGGATCTTGGCCAAGTCGAATATGCACGAGCCAGATGGAGGCGGAGGAGGAGGAGGAGGAGGAGACGGGAAGGGAAGAAAGGGAGGATCAGTAGCGCCAGAAGAAGCAGGAGCAAGAGGAGGGGGCAGAAGGAGGAGGATGAGGAGGAGGAGGAGGAGCAGGAATGGCGAGGATATGCGAGGACGAGGCAGAAGGACGCCGTCCTCCTCCTCCTCGTCCTCCTCCTCGCCGGCGCCTCCCCCGACGCCAGGCGACCAGCGGCCAACCGCCTCCCCCTTCATCGCCAGGCCCCCGAAGATCACCGGAGCCGGCGGGGCCACGTCCTCCTCCTTTCGGTGGCGGCGGCGGCGACGGGGGCGACGACCGCGACGGGGGCGAAGACGGCCCTGGCGACTTGGACGACGGCGGTGGCGGCGAGGAGGGCGAGGAGGACCGCGACGACGGCGACGGCAGCCACGGGGCACTACCCCCAGTGGACATGAATCCCTGTAGGGGCCTATGAAGAGGGAGCTGGAGGGAGGGTGTATTCCAACATCGTTGGTAAGTCTTGGGTTTACACTGGTCGTCGTCCTCCTCCTCCTCCCCTCCTCCTCCTCCTCCCCTCCTCCTCCTCCTCCTCCTCCTCCTCCTCCTCCTCCTCCTCCTCCTCCTCCTCCTCCTCCTCCTCCTCCTCCTCCTCCTCCTCCTCCCTCCTCCTCCTCCTCCTCCTCCTCCTCCTCCTCCTCCTCCTCCTCCTCCTCCTCCTCCTCCTCCTCCTCCCCCTTCTCCTCTCCCTCCTACTTCTCATCCCGCTGCCGTTGCTCCTCCTTTTCTCATCCTTGATGTTCTCCTTCTCCCCCATCGTCGTCGTCCTCCTCCTCCTCCTCCTCCTCCTCCTCCTCCTCCTCCTCCTTATCTCACGACGAGGAAAGTGGATGAGGAATTTTTCAAAGGTGTTGGAGGCTGTCTGAAGCTTTTGATCGCTTTCTGGAGGTTTCTGGAGCAAGCGGATGGAACAAGTGAGGGGAATATGATAAGAAAATGAGGACAAGGCAGAGGGCCGGAAACCTCATCCCCCTCCTCGTCCTCGTCCTCCTCCTCGTCCTCCTCCTATTTCTATTCCTCCTTTCCTCCAAACCCTCTTCCATCGTCTCCTCATATCCCCCTACTCTTCCACTACCTCATCCTCCTCTCTCCTCCTAATCCTTCTCTTGTCCCTCCTCTTTACAGTTGCTCCATATCAATACTACCCCCCTGACTCCCCTAATAATGTCAAGTGATGCCGTCGCCTCTCCCGCGTATTGTTTGCACATAAGCTTGTTGTTTGGCCGCGTTGGCCACATCGCAGGATGGGCGCTTTGCTCCCGTCGTTCAGACTGGCGTCCCGGCGTGGGCCACGTTCCTGGATCCGATTCCTCCTTCATCGTTGCCATCTCCCCCTTTCGCCCCCTCCTGCCCCTGCTAGTCCTCCTGTTTCTGCTGCTGCTGCTCCTCCTCCTCCTCCTCCTCCTCCTCCTTCCGCATCGTCCTCCGTTCCCTCTTGTTCATACTCCTGCTCGTCCGCCGCCTCCTCCTCCTCATCCAATTCACAGAGAACCCCTCTCTGACTTCGCATCGCACGATGGTTTAGTTTTTGGGGATCAAGAATGCTATGACACCACAGTCGACAGATTGAACATAATTCAGCGCAATGGGAAGGGATGGGTTGGAGGGGTCGAATGTCAGATACGGCGCGAGCGCACCCCTCTCTCCTATCTCCTTTCCTTATCTCTTTCCTTTCCTTTCCTCTCCTTTCATTTTCCTCCTCCAGCTCCACCTTCTTCTCTTCCTCTTGCCCATCCTGCTCCTCCTCCTCCTCCTCCCTCCTCTCCACGAAGACCACCAGCGCTTGCGTGAGGCAGCCTCCTTTGAGGAAGCCTCTCGGGGGCTCTTTTGGACGCCCTCGATGGGGCTTCGAAGAGGCAGGCCTGGCTCTTGGAGGCCCGGCTCGCTGAATGTGAAAGCGAGAGCGAAATCCTGCCAAGGTTGGCTCGCCAAACGGGCCCACCCTGGGGAAACCAAAAGGGTCTGATACTGCTACTCCCCGGACCTCTCCCCGGGTGATCTCTGACCAAAGTTTTCGATGCGACTCCAGCTGTGACGACGAGAGCCTCCCAGGAGGTCCAGAATCGGCGGCGAGCGGGGGGGGGGAACTGAGAGGGGGCGGGCCTTCTCAGGAGGCTCGGAAGTCCCCTGGCCTTCTGAGAAGCTTTCCAAGCCCTCCCCGAAGACACAGAAAACTTGACAGAAGGCCCGATGACGAGGGCCTCCCAGGAGACCCCAATAGGGGAAAGCGAGGGAAGGGCAGCCTCCTCGGACGCCCTTCCACGAGGCAGCTCTCCTCCAAGGCCCCCGTCCAAAGGCTCCGCGAGGCCGAGGAGGAGGAGGAGGAGGAGGAGGAGGAGGAGGAGCAGGAGGAGGAGGAGGAGGAGGAGGAGCAGGAAAAAGAGAAGAAGGAAGAGCCTCCCCATCCTCCCTTCACCCCCTCCGGGACGCCTGCGAGGGGCCTCCCTGGAGGCAGGCTGGGCTCCCCGAAGCCTGCCGCCCCCCGCCCGTCGGCCGGCGACCTCCTCGAACCGCCGCTCCTCAGCGAGGTCCAGGGCGCGGCGCTCCCGGAGCATCTCGGCGAGCCTGTCCTCGTACTGCTGGCGAAGCCCCCTGATCGGCGGCGAGGGGAGGGGGGAAGCGAGAGGGAGGAGGCCTCCTCGGAAGGCGGCGTGACTTCTCGGAGGGCCTCCGGCCGTTTGGAGGAGCTGGCTGCGTCTTCGGGGAAGGCTCAAAGAGCTTCTCAGGAGGGCCGGGGGACTTCCGAGCTTTCTGAACAGGCCCGCCCCTTCCTCCTCCTCCTCCTCCTCCTCCTCCTCCTCCTCCTCCTCCTCCTCCTCCTCCTCCTCCTCCCCCTCCTCCTCCTCCTCCTCCTCCTCCTCCTCCTCCTCCTCAACCACCTCCTCTTCCTACTCCTCCTGCTCCTCCTCTTGCTCGTCTTGCCCCTCCAGGCTCGCCGCGGGCCTGAAGTACTCGATCATGTTTGCCACCACCTGGGACGTGGGGATCGATTCGGGAGCCCCGGGGCGGAGGCAGAGACCCCCAGGGGGGGAGGATGAGGATGGGGACGGGAATCGTCGTCGTCGTCGTCGCCTTCGTCGGCACGGATGTACATGGGGATAACGGCGGCGATGATAACGACGACGACGACGACGTCGGCGACGATGATAATTATGATGGTGATGGTGCTGATAATGATGAGGTCTGAGATCCCCTGGTGGCCAGACGATTCTTTACAGCGAAGCTGTGCGAATAGATTCTGTTGTGTGCAAGCTCGAGCTTCGAAACACGGAGCGGCTCTTGGACCGCTTCACAACGACCCTGAAGGAATAATTACAGCGCAGGGTGGCACGAGGGCGGGTGCGCTTGAATTGTTGCGGAGCAAAAACGGCCACGGAACGGATCAGCACCAGACCAGGACGATACAAACATCTGACTAGGTCTGAGATCCCCTGGTGGCCAGACGATTCTTTACAGCGAAGCTGTGCGAATAGATTCTGTTGTGTGCAAGCTCGAGCTTCGAAACACGGAGCGGCTCTTGGACCGCTTCACAACGACCCTGCTGTGCCCTACCTGGCATCTGGCCGCTTTATGCCTAAAAAGAGTCTGTTGAAGAAACCTTCTGAAAGCCTCGAGGCTCCCGAGGAGATCCAAGAGCACACCCAAGACGCGCACGGACGAGACAAATGAATAAAAGGCGAGGGGGTGGGCGGGGTCGCACGAGCGTGGACGCACGGACCGCCGACTTCGTCGGGGAACCCACAAGAAAACCCCAGAGCCCACATGTTGTCGTGGTTAGCTCGTCGGCAGCCAAACTTGCACGGGGAGATCCTCGCGTGCCTCCCGTCACAAATGGTGAGCAGCTGTCTAAAGAGGACGGAGTGCGCGGAAGCGCTTGCTGATGGGAAAATAGCGATGCAAGGACACTTTACAGTTAGGCATTTGTGAAGAAGACGGGCTAGAATATTGCTAGCTTCAGTCTCACCGAACCTGGGCCAAATCAGAACGACTCCCCGAACGCGGCGAGACGAGATCCATCCCACGAGGCGGCGAGATACGATGGCGGTAGCCAGCAGGGAGCCGTTTATCCACGCACTGCAGCCCGAGATGCGGCCGTCCTCGGCCCGCGCGATCTCGCCCGTCCCGAAGCCGACTTCGAGGAAGGTCTGGCCAGCGGCAGCGCGGCACGCGCGGGCAAGGTCTTGCAAGGCCTGCCCGACGCCAGCGCCTCCGCCTTGAGGAAGCGAGGGCGTCGCGGTCGCCGCTGCTGGCCGAGGATCTGGCCGATGCTGTCCTCGACCTCCTGGGCCCACTCCGAGACCTCGACGTCGACCTTCTCGAGCTCCGCGAGGTAGCGCACGTGCCGCGAGTACCGGGCCGTGCTCTGCGCGCTCGTGTGGCGTAGACGCGCTTGCAGCTCGGCCAGAGGCATGCCCTCCACCGCCGTGGCGTGCGACGCCGCGGAGTGCCGCAGCTGGTGCGGGATCATGTCGGGCGCACCCGGGACCAGCGACAGCCGACGTCGGAACTCGGCGCCGAAGGTCGCTGCGCTGAACGACCACAGGGGCAACCCAGCGGGCCGCGCCGCGCGGAGCAGCTTCAGGAAGCTCCCGCCGCCGCCACGCCAGGCCGCGCTCCGCAGCAGCACGCCCTCGTCCTGCGCGAGCGACTTGCTGCAGGCCGATCCCTCGATCGGGTACAGCAACAGCGCCCAGCGGGGCTCCTCGCCGCGGCCTGGGCCCACCAGCGTGTCGACCGTCATGCCGACGAGGTCGCTCGGGAGGCGGATCATCGCGTCCCACGCGAGCGCGACCGCCCCCGCCCACTCGAAGTCCCCCTCGAGCGCGGCGATCCCGATCATCGCCCACACGATCGGCTTCCCGACGGGCGTCATCGGAGTGCTCCTCGAGTGCACTCGAAAGCCAGAGAGCGCGGCCCGCGCCAGCGGAAGGCCGCCGTGCTTCGGCCGCGGCACGCGCGGCAGCCTGTATTGCACGGACGCCAGCAGCCGCGAGCCCGTCTCCGCCAGCTCCCCGTCCCAGAACAGCTTGTCCAAGTAAGCCGCCAGGAGGGCGTCCAGGCGGTCCGCCGTGATGTCGTCCAGCGACGGCACGGCGGCCCAGGCCAGGAAGCTGGCCACGTGGTTGTCGAAGCTGCGGATGGTGGCCTCCCGCACCTTGTGCCTCTGCAAGAAGGTCAGCCCATGCCGAGGGTCGCAGTTGGGTCCGCCGAACTTCGCGGCTCTGAGCTTCGCCCGATTGGCCTTCTGGCGTGCCAACTCGACGCGACCCGCCGCCTTCGACCGAGCTGGAGGCAGAGCTCCAGGCTTCGCGCTCGGAGGGGGTGTCTTGGCCTTCCCCGCCTTCAGAGGAGCGCGAGCTCGCTGCGGTCGTGGTGGCGGCGGCGGCCTCCTCCTCGGGGTCGCATAAGTCGTGTCGCCGACGGCGGAGCAGGCCAATCGGATCGTCGTAGTGGAGTCGCCGAGCCTTCTCGTCAGCGGCCGCCCGAGCGAGGCTAGCCCAGGCCGTGCCAACATTCCGCGGGTCGGCTGCAAAGGGAGTCGGCCGGCCCGTCACGGTGCGTGAGCCTTTGTCTGAAGTGTTCCACTCTGAAGGTAGCCATCTCACGGCTACGGACATATCGTGAATAATGCTGTAGCTGCACAACTCTCTGCAGGTCTGATTGATCAAAGGGGATGCGGAACGACCTTTTTCCACTCCCAGTACCAAAGAAAGGTTATCATTAAGCATGAGGTGAAGATGACCCCGAGACCGCAAGGCCCGCATCTTGTGGCGCACGCCGAGCGCGAGGGCGCGCCCCTCGAGCCTCAGGATGTTCTCCTCGCGGCACCAGCGGCCGAAGGTCACGTTCCGCCAGGCCTCCATCGGGAAGACGACGTCCGAGTCCACAGTGGCGAAAGACATTCCGTCGGACGGATCCCTCGAGGTGTCGCGGGCGGCGAAGGCGAACTCCCGAGCGTGCAGGGCTCCCTCCACGTGGTAGCGCCACCGCTCGCGAACCCGAGCTGTCTCCAACACCAGCTGCTGGCTGAGCTCCCGCTTGGTGACCCCGTAGCCGCCGTACAAGCTGCCCGCAGGGTCGAGGTCGCCCGTGCTAGCGTCGGTGGAGTAGACCGTCGAGTCCACGGGCCGCTTCGCGTCGTAGTAGGCGAAGGGCACGAGAGCGGCGGCGACTCGCAGCTCACGAATCACCTCGGGCCATATCCTCCAGCGGCTGTCACCCGCCTTCTTGATGAACCGATACGTCGACTGGAAGATGCACAGGAGTGGTCGGCGAAGGAGGGCCGCCCAGTTGAAGTGCCCGACCAGGCTGGCCAGCTCCTTTCCCGTGGCGTAGCGCTGGGACGCCTGGCACAGCAACGCCTGGCGGATCTTCCACATCCGCGACCGCCCCAGCGATATCCTTCCCGACTCTCTATCGAAGATCAGACCAGTGAACTTCTGGTGATCGCTCGGCGGCTCCATCTCCTTGCGCTGGAGGCCCGCCGCGTTGAACGCGCCGTGCACCGTCTCCAGCTGCGAGACGACCACGTCGTACTTGGAGCCGATCACGGCGACTCCGTCGACGTAGGCGGCGGCGACGGTCTCGCCCTCGAGGTCGGGAATCACCTTCCTCTCGTGGACGAGTCTGTGATCGCCGATGCCGACGGTCCTCAGCATACCCTCGACGGCGTGCTGGCAGAAGAACAGGCTCCAGTTCCAGCCCATGGGCAGCACCTTCAGACAAGGCGAACACCTGCGACCGACGATGCCGTCGAGAGTGCCGCTCGGCAGCACGTTGGCAAGAGCACCGCGATCGATACTCGGGAGAATCATCAGCTCGCTCAGACCAGGCGGCGCAAGGAACCGATAGAAGGCTGCCTCGATGTCGCACTGACCGAGGAAGAGGCTGCTGTCGGCCCCGAGCCGCAGGCTCTGCCAGTTGCCTGCCGTCGGCAGCTCGGCGACGTCGGGGTCATAAAACATACGATTGACACGCCGGGTGTCCAGAACCATCCGCTGCTGGCCGCTCCCGTCCCGCTTGGCGACGAAGAACGGCGCGAGCGTGTGCTTGCGCTCGCTGGTGAATTCGATCATGCCCGCATTGAACAAGTCGTGCAAAAAACTGGCGTAGAGCTCCGGCGAGCTCTTCAACCTGGCGTCGAAGTGAGGTGGTACATTAGCAAGCCACTCCTTACGAGGGCGCAAGAGATGCTTCTCCCAGTCCTGCCACAAGTCGCGCACGGACTCCGACAACAGGTAGGCGGGCTCGCACTTCCTGGAGTCCGAAGGCACCGCCACGCTCCCTTCGGTGAACAGAACCGGCTTCGCTGGGGACATGTCGTACCCAGGAGAACACCCACGCAGCTCAGTGTAAGCCGCCGTGGGACTGACATCGGGAGGCCCGAACTCCAGCAGGTGGTCGTAGAGCGACTCGATGCCAGTGAGCTGCGCCGCCGACAACTTGTCGAACCCGTCGCCGCCCAGGCGCCCGTTGAGAAAATTGAGCGCCGAGACGACCTCGCAGGTCCACAGCTCGACGGCCAGCTGCTGGCGGCCCCGGCTCCGCCGACTTCGGGAATTTGAAAAACATGCACTGTGGTTGCGCCGCTCGAAGTGCGCAGTCGCAAGGTCCAGCGGGATCGGAAGGACGTCCCGCTGGACCACCATGATCGTGAAAGTGAAGGGAGCGTCAGCCCCCCTCCCCGCCAGCGGTAGCACCTCCACGGCCCTTTCCCTTAGAGTCCGCCCTGGGTGCAGCCGCCAGCTGCTTCTTCAACTTCTCGATCTCCGACTTCTGGCGATCAACGGTGCTCTGCATCCCTGAGAGGCGCGCCTTGCCGTCACCGCCGCCCCCGCCGCCGTGTCCGTCATCGCCCCGCGAGGCCATCCGCTCCTCCTTCAGCTTCCGCCGCTCCTTGAGAACGAGGCTCTCCTTGTGGAGCTCATCCGTCACGAACGTGAGCAGCTTCGGCGAGATGCAGACCAACCCGCGGGTCTCGCCCGTCCCGAGGTACAAATGCGAGTCCTCGAGCAGCTCGTCACCTCGAGAGGTCGTGAGAACCCTCTCGCGATGGCGGTACTCGGCCATCTGGAGTCGACGACATACCAGTTCTGCACACGACAGCTCGCTGGCATTGAGCTGGTCGTAGGTCAGCAGCAGATGCATGATGCGGCAGCAGAGCTCATGGACGGAGACGTCCTGGTCCGACGACGACAGCCCCGTCTCGGCCTTGAACTTGGCGTGCCGAGACCTGAAGGTGACGTCATTCTCCCGCGCGAACTCGCACACCCACTTCACGGTGCGGGGCCCGTTGATCGGGAAGAACTCCCACTGCGTCTCGGTGAGCTCCGCCACAGCCTCACGCATCCCGAGGAAGCGCTCCGTGGTGTTGGCCCGCAGCGCGAGGACGCGCGCGTCGAGCTCGTCCCCGCCGTCGGGAGGAAGAGCCCGCACCAGCATCGTGCGGCCCCCCTTCATCGCCATGCCGAACCCCGACGCGATCACGAAGGCGTCCAGGTCCTCGTCGGGCAGCAAGCCCTTCCCCTCGCCGTCGCTCGAGGCGATGCAGCGCCAACGCGACGGCGAAGGGTCTGGGAGGCGCCCGCGGCCAGAGCCCCACTCAGTCGGAATCTCCGCCGAGGCCAAGGCCGATCCTGAAGGCGCTCTCGCCGCCGCCGGCCTCGCCTCCGCCTCGGGCTCCTCGGGGGCTCCAGCCGCCGCCGCCGCCGTCTCCAGCACCTCGTCGAGCGACTGCCCCAACGCGAAGCGCAACTGGAGCGCGAAGGCCGCGGGGCTCATCACCCAGTCCCTGCCGTAGGTGCCGACGCCCACGGGGTTGGCCCCCTCTCGGTTGGCCAGCTGCCTCCGATCCGTCATATCGTACGGCACGATGATACGCAATGCCTGGGCCGTCAGCTCGTGCGGGTAGACGTCTCCGTCGGGCGTCGCCATATACCACAACCTCCCGTCCTCGTCGGCCTTCTCGCTCGGATCCAGACTCGTCACTTCCCGATAGTCGGTCGGTGAACACGGCGCGATCGCAATGCGGGCCTGCATGCTCCCGCCGCCGCGCCACTGGGTATCGAACCGCTGACCTGCTCGAACTTGGAACGGCATAGCGTCCGACGAAGACACCGAAGAAGAAGGGCGCGATGGAGATCAGGGCCGCTCCCCACTTCAGCGAGCCGACGAGCCCGTACGCGACCGCACACTCGGTCGCGTTGCCGAGGGAGCTCTCCACGAGGCCCCAAGCCTTGTCGGAGACAATCCAGGCGCCGACGCGGGCGAGGCCACCAGCCACGGAGGACAGAGGCATGAAGCGGCCGCTTTCTCTGTTTGCGCTTGAATTGTTGCGGAGCAAGAACGGCCACGGAACGGATCAGCACCAGACCAGGACGATACAAACATCTGACTATGGTGATGAGGGTGATGATGATGCTGATAACCATGATGATGATGCTGATGGTCCCGATGGTGATGGTGATGATGATGATGAAGAGGAGAAGGAGGAGGAGGAGGAGGAGGAGGAGGAACGACCGTACCAATAAGGGAAGAGATGAGGGCAAGCGGGCACGACGCGAGAAGAGGGCAAGTGTCCCCGCTCCAGTTCGTCTCAAGCTACGGCCTCATCGCGTGCAGCGCAGCGGCTCGGCACCCAGTGCCAGTAGTGTAAAGAAGCGAGGCGCTGGGCGCGGCGTGCGTGATGATACGCAATTTGTTGTATAAATGGAATGAAAGTGCTGTCCGACGGACAGCCTCAGGGATAGCGTGCTCAGAGTTAGCGTTTTGCCCAGGCGTCCCTAGGCCGATGCGAAAGAAAGGGTCCGAGGAGAGGAAGGAGCGAGGTAACGCCAGGAAGTGAAGGAGGCGGGGGCAGGTGAGGTAATGGCCGAGACGATCTGGGCAAACATCGCACCCGAGCAGACAGGTGCGGCGCGGGCCGAAGGGGAAGCGGTGGCTGGTCCACCACGTTCCCGCCAACGTCTTATATACGGCCCAGCGGATGGTTGGGGCCCTCTTTGCAAGGTGACTGGCTAATTCCTGCCTGCGAGATCAGGTAGCGCCGATGAAAGACGGCGTGCGAGGGTGTCAGCGAACTTGTCGGGGAAGAAGGAGGAGTGGAGGACCGAGGCGAGGGAACACTGGACCCTAGCACGCCTGGATTCTTGGGCAGCGGCAGTCTGTTCATTTGCGGCCGCTCGCTGAGCTGCACGCCAGACGAGCGGTGAGACCGAGCGCGGTGGTTTGCCGTCAACAAGCTCGCGCCAGTATTCGACGATGCCAGGGCACTTCCAAAACACGGGAGAAACGGTTGCCTGAATACGGGCCTGGGCCAAATCCGCCAGGGTCAGTTCTGGGTTGAGCTTGTCTTGAGCAAGTACTAAAGAGCGATACAGTGGCTTCCAGTCGGGAAGCGTGACAGATGCCGTGCGCCACGCTGAGACCAGTGAAAGCGTGATCAATGAGCTGGGGGAGGACGAATGCGACCACGAGCGAGTACCGAGGAGGTCGACGAGGCGCCAGGAGTTGGGGGGAGACCTGAGAACCTTATGTAGGGTGCCACGTTCGTGACTCAGGAACGTGGCTGGACATGGAAAATACTGCGTGAGGTACGAGAGGACAGTGATAACACATGTGTTGTCCAATGTGAGCGCCGCTGCGGGGCCAGGAGCGCTCGCCGCTAACTGTACAACGCGTGCCCAGTATTTATCAAATGCGGCTTTCCATTGGATGTCTGAAGTGGCTGCTGGGCCAATGAACACGCCTAAATCACGTGCGTATTCTGCAATCTGAATGTGCTGCCGCCCAGGCACTAGGAATACTAAGACGCGTTGAGTGAGGGAGTGCGCGGCAGGTGAAACAAGGGGCCCATAAAAGGGCACAATCGCTGTCTTCTGGATCTGTAGTTCGAGTCCCGCGATAGTAGCAATGGCCCGAAACGGGGGAAGGAGGAAAGGGAGGGTTCCAAGGCGAGCGAGGACGAGACCCAAGTCATCTGCGCAGGTACCGAGCGTGTTGGATCCAGGGAGGGCGCTTATCAGCTGGATCCGTTGTCTAATGGGAGCATCGAGGGCCAGGGCCCAAATCGATCCCGAGAGAGGGCAGCCCTGGAGTGATGACGGCCACCTACACGGGCCCAAGCTCTGGGGGAGGGATACAAAGCATAAATGACACTGATATAGCCTGGGGGAGCCCCGTGAACAACCAGTGATGCAAACGGAAACTCCCATCCTAAGGGTGGGGAGGCAGCTTCTATATCAAAGCTGACATGGATAGGGAGGGCACCTGGTGCCTCTGGGGGGTGACCTGCTCTACGTGCCTCAGAGTCTAGGGTCAGTACATGTTGTCCAAATTTTCGCTCCTTTTACAACGCCCTGCTGTGTGTCTGTTGTCCGATCCCTGACCATGTCCACGAGACCCATATTCACGACATGGGCGATCAGTTTGGCGTCGCAGCTCTTTAAGGAGAGGGGGCGAGTGGCACCTGGAGCCCGAAAGACGGCATGGTGGTCCTGGGGTTCGTCTCATTTAGGAAGCAACGCGAAGACCGAGCCGTTGAACTGGTACGGGGCCAGGCCCTTTTTCGAACATCTGCATCATGATGTCATGAAGTATCTGAGCGGATCCAGGCGAGGTGGCCCATGCAACGTATGGGACCTGATCTGGGCCTGGAGCGGTATGTCTGACCTCGCGGAGGGCCCTCTGAAAGTCCTGCAAAGCTGGAACCCGTATGTCCGCGCACTCGAACTTGGGGATGTGCTGGGGCAGGTACTCCTGAACCGCCACGGGGCCCACAATCTTGCTCGAGAAGGTGGGCTGCCAAAGCTGCTGGGGGCCTCCGAGAATACCCTGTGGGGAGCTGGTGGTGGTGAGGGGTGCTGTAGGTGCCCCCTCTATCGGTATCCTAAGTCCTGAGAGTACGAGTCGACGGAGGGAGGGCGATGAGGAGGAGGAGGAGGAGGAGGAGGACGACACCGAGACGACGACGACGAGGAGGTCTAAGGGGGAGAAGGAAGCATGAGGGAGTACGATGCGGAGGAAGATGACGAGGAACAGGAGGCGGAACGTGAAAAAGGAAGTCCTGAGCCCAGCCACACTACCCGCCCTCCCTTCCCAGCCGCGCTAGCTCCAAGCTGGGGTCGAAGGAGGCTCGGCGCAACAAATGCACCTGACGCCCTCGCGTTGGGAGACGTGTGGCCAACCTCACGGCGTCAACCAACTGGTCGGCTTGGGAAAGGGACAACGGAAGCGAACTCTGATGGGGCGCTAAACGATGCATGTGATAGCAGGCGGCTGCAAAGGCCAGGGAACCACCTCGAAACCCACGGAAGAAGAGAGGGCCCCCCTGTGAGAAACGGGCGCAGAGCCATGGAGGCGACGTACTGTAACTTACGGTAGCTACATATACAGTGATTGACGCTATCCAGAGCACCGCACCCGAATATGCACTGGGCACCAAATCGGGCCATCCTGCGACATGTGACCCATGACCAAAACCACGATCTGAGAGAAATCTGGGCCCACGCGGGGGGGGGGGGGCAACCGCGCCAGCTCCGTCGTGGCATCCTCTGTCCCTTCCCAGTCGAGGGAGGGAGCGAAGTGGCGACGGACACGAACGCAGATGCGAGCGGGGAGGGAGGGGGTCGGGTTCACGGCAGTCTGGAAGCAAATCTTAAACTCTCGTTTCTCGTTTCTCGGTCCGCAATATCCCACTTAAGCTCTCGCGTCTCGCTTCTCGTTTCTCGCTGGAAGCAAATCTTAAACTCTCGCTTCTCGCTTAAACTCTCGCTTCTCGCTTCTCGCTGGAAGCAAATCTTAAACTCTCGCTTCTCGCTTCTCGCTTCAAATCTTCCCACTGCGGTCTCCCTCTCGCTTCTCGGATCGCGGGGCCCCGAAACGCATGCAGGGCAGCCGCTCCGCCCTGGGTCAGATCGCGCTCGAGGAGGTGAGAACGAGAATGGGCGGAAAAATCAAAGAAGGGAGGGCGAACAGGAAAACCCTGGGAGGCCCACTCAAGGGTGCTAGCGATTGCCTCGGACTGCCGAAACTCGGGTGCCTGCCGCGGAGACTGCCGCCATGTTGCGGGTCCATGGGAGACCACGGCCGTCCGCAAGCGGTTGATCTGAGCCTTCCGTGTCGAGACTGTTGCCAACGAACACCGCATCAACGCGGCCGCATTCATGGAGAGGATACTGGGCAAACTAGGTAGCCCCCAAGACTGGAGTTCGAACCACTCCAGGTGCGAGACTATCGTGCACGGGGCGCACATGAGACGAGCAACAAAAACATCCCCTCATGCACAGCCATGGCCCGGGCCATAAAGAACAGCCGGGCTTCATAGGAGAGCACGGGCAAAGCACGCTGCACATAAATCCCAACGCATCTCACAAAATGGGCTCCTGCGTCGGCAGTCTCAACAGTTCTAGATATGAGCTTCTGGGCGGGTCGACTCCATTGATCCACAGAGGTCGCCGCGGGACCGAGCCAGACTCCGATATATATATATATATATACATTCACTTGCCGACGATGTAAAAACAAAAAACCCAATCAGTATCGGCTTCATAGAGAATGGAGCGGAGGGAGGGCGACGCCGACTCAAGAGGACCATCGAGAGAGACAGCATTGCACTTCGACGTTTTGAATCTTAAATTCGCAAGCTCCTTGGCAAGCGCGAGTATACGGGCCAACACGAAGTATCCACGCCGACTCCACACCACGACCCCGACATCATCAGCGCATGCTCGAATGCAACCTCGCTTCTGGGCGTCTACATGCATGGTAATATCTTCAAGAAACGGGTTAATCGCAAAGATGAAAACTGTGCCTCTCAGAGGGCATTCTTGCAACACCCCTGAGTGTATCCAATAAATGAGCTCAAACACGCCAGCGACGTCAACGTAGCAAGGATCAAAGCGGTGGAACACATAAGTTGCCAGGAGGAATCCCGACGGCAGCCTGTGACACCTAAGGCTCATGAGCATCCACTCTTGCCTCACCGAGGAGAAGGCCTGCGCAACGTCGAACGACAGAAGCGACGACGGCGACACTGGAGTCCCGGGATTACACGCCTTCCCCTCACAAGGCGCTCACGACTGCGGGCGAAACGCGCACGAAGTGATGCTAGCCATGCGTGCTGCCGTGTCGAGGCCTACAACAATGTGAACAACATTCCGCCCTGGTGCAAGCCCCCGCTGGCATCGTGCTGCCAGCCCGCGCGCAGCAACTGGCCATCGCTCGGACGTCCATTCCCTGTGTTTTTCTCGGTTTCGTGCGTGGTTTTTTCGCAGGATGATCCAGGATGCTCCTTAATAA